CTGAAAGATCTGGCTCTCGTCTCTGGTCTGGGTCAGCCCTGGCTGTTTCAGGCATTTAAGGAGTAAGCATGTAGATGGGAGATCTCTCTCCCTTTCTATCTGCCTTTCAAATAAATAAAAATTATTTTAGGTGCTAGGGTGGTGGTGTAGCGGGTAAAGCTGCTACCTGCAGCAACGGCATCCAATATGGATGCCGGTACTGACCCAGCTCTCTGCTGTGGCCTGGGAAAGCAGTAGAAGACCGCCTAAGTCCTTCGACTCCTGCACCCCCGTGGGATACCTGGAGAAAGCTCCAGCCTCATGGCTTAGGATCGGCCCAGCTTCAGCAGTTATTACTTGGGGAGTGAACCAGCGGATGGAGGACCTCTCTCTCTCTACCTATGTCTCTTTGTAACTCTGCCTTTCAAATAAATAAAAAATCTTTAAAAATTATTTTAAAAATCATATTTTACTGATGCATACTTAATATATCAATAAAGACCATAAACAAAAGTAAAAGCCAATCAACATACTTGAGAAAGATATTTGCAGGATATAACTGACAAAAGATCAATATTAGAAAATGCTTTTGCAAATCAATAAGGGACTGGGAATGTTCAGGAGAAAAATGAACAAAATAGTCCATAGGCAAGTCACCAAAGAGGCCCAAGGACTGGTAAACGTGTGGGAAAATGGCCAAGCGCCGTAATCAAAGAAATGCAAGTGGAACAGCCGGCCCATTTTCCCCTTCCAAGTTGGCAAGAGCACAGCGAGGCCAGACCGTGGAGCTGAGGGTTTGGCTGGAGTTGACAGACGATGGGGAGCCTTTGATGGAGTCTGAGCAGGAGTCATCTGCAGAAAGAGGAATCTGGTGCTTTGGATGCCTCAGAACTGGGGGACAGGAGTGGGCCGGCAGACAGGCCGGAGGGGGCTGTGGCCAGAAGAGAGAAGGATGCCTGTGTTGAAAGCATCCCGAGGGAGGCCCCGCAGGTCTTGATGCTTGGCAAAGAGAAACATCACGATGGCCAGTGGCCTTGCTGGGTGGCAGTGGCGCTGTTGAGGCAGACAGGGACGCTGGGGACCGGGTGAGGGGACGTCCGGGATTTTGACACTGGGACACGTTGTGCGTCTGCAGTCTCCTTGCTAGAAACTGGCGGGCAACTCAGATGATTCGAGCCCCCAGAACGGTCATTGCCTCTGCACAGAGGACAAGTCCTGGGCGGAAGCTTCAGGCATCAGGGGTGTGGCATCAGCAGTTTCCTTCTTCTTATCCCCCAAAGAGAGGACAGAAATGGCCAGAAGCAGCTCCGGGCTCACGTCCTGCCAGCCGAGCCCAGGTCCTGGGGTGCCTGCATGGGCCTGGTTAAGAACCAGGGCCGTCACCGACTCAATCCCTGGGACGCTGATGGAGCAGACCGAGGTCACGTGTGCTCCCCTGGAGCCCGGGCGTGGGGTCAGCTCTACCTAAACCCATTCAGAGTAGGGGGAATGGTCCTCTAAGGCAACACTGTGGGGTCGATCCCCAAAGAAGGACTGGTGCGGAGGTGCAAGAGCAATAAATGTACACATTGTTCCACTTCTCGGCTGTCCAAGATCTACACAGAGCCCTCTCCCCATATAATGTCTAACGCAATGTGCTCTGTTTCTCACCGTGCAGCTGTCACCTCCCTGGAAGCTATTCCCAGCTCTCAGCCTGTTACCACATTCAGCCAAGATCTGTCTTTCTGATGAGGTCCTGAGCTGGCCCCTCGTGGCCTTTCCATCTGTGGCCAGACTGCAGTGGTGGAGGAAAACATGGGGAGCTGCAAGAACCAAAACCCCCCTCCTTGAAGAAACAACTGGGGGAAAACACCTGCAGCCCCACGCAGCTGACAAGTCCTGGGTCGACTGACTGGTCCACCCGCCAATCAGAGGTTCTGACTCTCCTGGTTCTGCCTTCCTGCTCTGTGGCCACAGATGAGAGGCACTGGGGGTACAGGTTTGGGCGGGTAAGGAGTGACCTTAGGAGCTAAGTAAAACTTGCCTTTGTCTTTACAGGTTTGTGGGTTTCTTCTGGTAATACAATTCCCTTCCTCATTAGGAGGCTTTAAAGTCAATTTACATGTGGTCAGCCCCAGAGCCCCAGAGCCTGAGCCCTTAACCAAAGCTAGAGACCTCATTGAAAGTTACAGTTCTTGAATGGAGTCCTGGTGGTGATGTTGAGGGAGGGGTGGGGTTGTCTCTTAGCAACAGACTCTGGAAGACTCTGTCCTTCCTGGGAGCCAGTTCTGTGGCTGAGCCTCTGCCCCAGCAAAGCTCTAGTTGGGGGGTGTGTGGGGGGAGTAGGCAGAGCTCATTTGCCCCCTGCCACTGAAGCTTTATCCTAACAGAAGGCTGTGGGAGTGGAAAACTCTGGAGCAGGGAGGGGCACAGCAGGGGTGCAGCAGGGCCTGAGGAGTCCGGAGCCTTTCAGGCCCCAGGCAGGGCTCCCTCTGAGTTTCCAGCCTCCCTGCCTTAGCTGGAGCTGACTTTAGCTTGCTGCAGAGAATGCCTCTTAATTATCTCTCAACCATACTGCATTTCTGGCCTCAGGCAGAAAAGAGCAGGCCTGAGTACCTCCTCTGTTTCCAGCAGGGTGTGTCTCCATGCTGGCCCTGATGGGGGCCAAGGGAAAGAACAACCCCAACGCTCTACATCTTTCCACAGATCCGCTAAAGCTCCAGTCTTGGCAGGTCCTTGGCCTCGGCTCCAGGGCGACAGGAGGCATTTTGATGAGCCTCTTTGGTGCTGGGTGGGCAGCCGGAGAATTGGCACCATCTTATGCCTCCTCCTCACCCCCAGCTTGGCTAATGCCACCTTTTTTTTTTTTTAAGATTTATTTATTTGAAAGAGTTAAACAGAGAGAGAAGGAGAGACAGAGAGGAGAGATCTTCATCCACTGGTTCACTCCCCAACTGGCCACAACAGCTGGAACTGTGCCAATTGGAAGCCAGGAGCTTCTTCCGGGTCTCCCACATGGGTGCAGGGGCCCAAGGACTCGGGCCATCTTCTGCTGCTTTCCCAGGCCATAGCAGAGAGCTGGATCAGAAGTGGAGCAGCCAGGACTTGAAATGGTGCCATATGGGGAGGCCGGCGCCGCAGGCCAGGGCTTTAACTCGCTGCGCCACAGCGCTGGCCCCGGCTAATACCTTCTTAAGGTCCATTATACTTGAAAAAAATGTTTCTATCTCTGATTCTGCTTTCTTAGTTGAAACTTTCTCCAGTGAAGGTAACACATACCCAATGAACTATTTTAAGCAAAAAGGGGATTGACTGGCTCACATAACCGAATAGGCCAGGATCTCACAGCGTGTGTGTGGAAAATCTTCATCTCAGTTCTGCTTTCCTGGATTGGCTCCAGTTCCAGAAGATTCCTCCCTAGCAGCTGTGGCCCTCTGCGTCACCTTAGGCACCTGAGACCACACAGGATGCCTCCTGCAGTAGTCCCAGGGCTTTTTTGGCTCGGTGTGGGTGCCCTGTGCCCATTCTAGGATTCCCATTGGCCAGGTCTATGTCACACCCCAGGACTACAGGCCTAAAAAAGTGGGGAAGGGAGGGTGGACCCCTAGAATCAGAGCAGGGTGCTGTTACCAGGAGGAAAACTGGGTGCTGGGCTGGCGAAGGCAACAGAGGTCCACCCATCTGTCAGTGTGGACATGACAGAGGCAGACAGATCTCAGGAGCTGGCCAGGATGAAGAGGTGGCGCTGAGAGCAGCGGTGGGTGTGGAGGCATCTGTGGGATTGAGCCAGACTGCCTGGGGGGAGGATGGAGGCAGAGGGGGCCAGAAGGTAGACCCCAGAGACCACCCCATCAAGAGCCAGCAATCTTGGAAAGATGGCAAGAACAGGAGATGGCAGAACCCAGAGGAAAAGTCAAATGAGAGCCTCACAGCGTTCTATGGATTTGCAGGGATCGAGTCAGCTGAGGGACCCAGCCTGAGGACAACTGGGCTGTCTGATTAGCAGGTGGCCCATGACCCTGAAAAGCACAGCGGCAGCGTCAGTCTGCCTGGAGCCTGATGGAAGGCTGTGGAGACGCCACAGGCAGGGGCAGGGGCACAGGAATCCAGAAGTGGGGACAGCTGGCAGCAGGAGTTGAGAGTGTGGAGGGGTGAGATGTCAAAATGGGTGTGGGGAGCACAGATGATACAGCCCTGGGGTGGTGGGCCAGGCAGGGACGCTCACCAGAGCCATGCCTCATGCTTTTTAGGCCTGAGGGATCCAAGGCCTGGAGTAGGAGAAGTAGGAGGGTGTTGGGCCAGGAACAAAGAGCCCCCACCCCAAGTAGCATCAAGTGGAGGGACATCTTGGTCGCTGCAGCACTGTACGAATAGTCCAGCTTGTGTTACAGCAGTGGCTTGTATGGCGTGCAAATGAGCATCTTGGGGATTTAAGAGGTAACCTACATACAGGGGAGTGCATGCAGTGCACAGCCTGACACGTGTGTGCACCTGACATGTGTGTGCACCTGAACCACCACCACTCGGATCGAGACGCAGACCCATTTCAGCATCACCTAAACCCGCTCCTGCTCTTTCCCAGTGTTCACAGCCTCCAGGGGCAACCTCTGTTCTGACTTGTGTCATTATTATCTGTCCTGGAACTCTGTTTCTGTGGAATCCTACAGCCTACACTCGGGTCTGGCTTTCCTTCCCACAACATAACAGAACAGATTCATCCGTGTTGCGTGTACCAGCAGTCACTTGAGAGGACTCCATTGTAACCGTACCACAGTGTATCCCTTCTGCTGTTGATGGGCACTTGGGTTGTGTCCAGATTGGAACGACTGTAAATAAAACTGATTCTTTTTTTTTTCTTTTAAATAAATCACAGTCTCTCTCACTCTTGCACAGGTGCCACAGCAAGCCAGCCCCCTCTGGGAGGTCAGGTTCTTGCTTTCCCTTCGCCCCATCACTGGGGGACAGACAGGTGCAGGGGGAGCAGGCAGGAGCGGGAGGGAGCGGGGATCCCCTCCTTCTAAGACACCGTCCCTCTCTTCCAGCCTCCTCGCCCCGGGCCGCCGGCGCCCTGAGCCTTCCCGACCCCGCAGGGGAGCTCGCCCACGGCCCCCCATGAGCGCGCCCGGCTGAGGGGCGCGGCGGCCGCGGTGGAGCCGGCTCTGAGCAGCGCGGGCGGCGGGGCCATGGCCTCGCTGGACCTGCCCTACCGCTGCCCGCGCTGCGGGGAGCACAAGCGCTTCCGGAGCCTGTCGTCGCTGCGCGCGCACCTGGAGTACAGCCACACCTACGAGACGCTCTACATCCTCTCCAAGACCAACAGCATTTGCGACGGCGCCGCCGCAGCGGCCGCCGCCGCTGCCGCCGCCGCCGCAGCAGCCTCGGGCTTCCCGCTGGCGCCCGAGCCCGCCGCCCTGCTGGCGGTGCCCGGCGCGCGGCGCGAGGTCTTCGAGAGCACGTCCTTCCAGGGCAAGGAGCAGGCGGCCGGGCCGGCGCCCGCAACGCCACACCTGCTGCACCACCACCACCACCACCACGCGCCCCTTGCCCACTTCCCGGGCGACCTGGTACCCGCCAGCCTGCCCTGCGACGAGCTAGCTGAGCCGGGCCTCGTGCCCGCCGCGCGCTACGCGCTGCGCGAGATCGAGATCCCGCTGGGAGAGCTGATCGCGCGCAAGTCAGTGGCGTCCTCGGCGTGCTCGACGCCGCCGCCCGGGCCCGGCCCCGGCCCCTGCCCCGGGCCGGCCTCAGCCTCTCCCGCGTCGCCCTCGCCGGCCGACGTGGCGTACGAGGAGGGCCTGGCGCGCCTCAAGATCCGCGCGCTGGAGAAGCTGGAGGTGGACCGGCGGCTGGAACGGCTGAGCGAGGAGGTGGAGCAGAAGATCGCGGGCCAGGTGGGCCGGCTGCAGGCTGAGCTGGAGCGCAAGGCGGCGGAGCTGGAGACGGCGCGCCAGGAGAGCGCGCGGCTGGGGCGCGAGAAGGAGGAACTGGAGGAGCGTGCCTCCGAGCTCTCGCGCCAGGTGGACGTGAGCGTGGAGCTGCTGGCCTCGCTCAAGCAGGACCTGGTGCACAAGGAGCAGGAGCTGAACCGAAAGCAGCAGTGAGTAGGCCTGCAGGGCGCCGAGGGTGGGTGTGTCCGCGTGGGGTTGTCGTCATCGCCACCGCCACCGGAAAGTGCCTGGGTGTATGCGGTGAAGGCCGTGGCTTTTTGGTTCAGGAGCGGGGCCGTGAGCGTGGGTAGTGGAGCGGGTGTTGTGACTGTGTGGGCCTGTGAGTGCATGGCATCTGACCTCCACGACTGGATGTTTCTCCTCCATGTATCCCAGCCAGCGCCACGCCCTGCATTTTGGCACCGCATCCTCTTCTCATTTGCCTACTCCAGGCCGTGGCTCAATTCTCCCCTCGCCCTTGTCTGTCTTCAGAGCTTCCCTACCTGGGTATCATTCCTAAAAGCACGTGGGGCGAGCTGGATGGTGCTTCTCCCATCTGCCCCTTTTCTCTCCTTACAGAAAAGCCGCGTCTGTTACACTGCTTGTGGCCTGTGTTTCCTCGCGTTCCCTCTTGAACCCACTCTGAGCCACCTTCCACCCCCGCCACTGTCCTGGTGTCACCAGGGACTTCGTGTTGCTGAGGCCCGGCAGCAGCGGCTGCCACAGCCGGTCTTCGAGGCCCTTTCACTTGGCTCCCAGGATGCGCTCTAGGGAGCCCCTTCGATCTTTTTGTCTGTTCCTTCTCAGCCTTCTATCCTCCTGGCTTCTCCTCTTTTCTGTGGCCTTTAAAAAAAAAGTTTACTTTCACTTTATTGGAAAGGCAGAGAGAGCATGAGAAATTTCCCATCTGCTGGTTCACTCCCCAGGTGCCTGCAATAGGCCAGGCAGAAGCCAGGAGCCTGGATCTCCCTCTGGGTCTCTCATGTGGGTGGCAGGGACCCAAGTACTCGAGCCTTCACCTGGTGCCTCCCAGGGTGCTCAGAATCAGGCATGGAGGCGAGACTTGCACCCAGACATCCTAATATGGGATGTGGTGTCCCAAGCAGCATATCAACTGCTATCCCAAAAGCCTGCACTTTCTCTGGCCTTTCAGTGTAGAATTTTATTGATGTTATTTATCTGTCTTCATCGTGATAGAAGGAAGCTCCAGGGCAGTGGATGAGAGAGCCAATGGATGAAAGATCTCCTTCTGTTTCTCTCTACCTTTCAAATAAAATAAAAATACATAACATGTTTTAAAAATGATACGTGCTCCATGAAGACAGGATTTTTCTGTTTTGTCCATTGCTGTATCCCCAATACTGAGCACCCTGGCTGACGCTGGAAGATGCTTGGTGAATGTTAAATGGGTGCAGGGACACCCTTGGTGCGTTTGGGAGTGGTTGCTCAGGTAATTGCTGTGTTCATGTGACTCCGGGAGGCTGGTGCAGGCTGGGTCGCCATACCCGCTTCTCGCCGTGCTGCCATGTTTATGCGTGCTTCCCAAAGTGCGGGTGTATCGGAGCTACCTGTGGGCCTCCGTGGGTCTTCCTTCGTATGTGTTGGGCTGTGCCTTTGCTGAGAGTGCACGTGCTGGGTGGGGCTGCGTGTTGGGATACGTGCTGTGGCTCTGTGGCGCTGAATGTGTCCCCAGGAGTGTTTCCGTGTTGGGAGACTGGATCCTGAGGCCATGAGGACCTGAGTGTGTCTGTGTGTGGTGTGAGGTGCAGGTGTGCCCTTATGGTAGGTGCAGACATGGGGCTCCGGGTGCGTGCCCGGTGCAGGAGTGCCTAGGGCTGGGGTGCAGTTCTGTGTGCGGTTTTTATGGACGCTGTAAGCAGACGTGCCGCGTTGGGCCCCCTACGCCACTAGCGGGGCTCTCCTGCAGAGGGTGGGGGCAGCCCCGCAAGGCCCTGGGTGAGAGACTGCTCCGGGCCCAGGGAGGTGGTGCAGATCGACCAGTTCCTGAAGGAGACGGCGGCACGGGAGGCCAGCGCCAAGCTGCGGCTGCAGCAGTTCATCGAGGAGCTGCTGGAGCGGGCGGACCGCGCCGAGCGGCAGCTGCAGGTCATCAGCAGCAGCTGCGGCAGCACGCCCAGCGCCAGCCTTGGCCGCGGAGCTATGGGCGCCGGGCCCCGGGGCCCGGGCCGAATGGTGAGTGCCCCGTGTCCCCTCAGACCCTCTGCACAGGTGGCCTGATGACCCCTAGGATGCCCCAGGCTCCACCTCCTCCAGCTTGAGGAGGGGTGCAAGGCAGGGTAGCCCCCATGGCCCAGGTGGTTGCGGCCCTGGCCCTCAGGGACCCATCTCTGTCCATCCTTGCCAATGAGAGCCCAGGGTGCGGGCTGGGTGGAGGGAGGGGCTGAGGAGCAGGCCTGTCTGGGCTGTCCGTCTGTCCATTCGTCCATCTTTCCCAACTTTTTCCCCTCTTCTCTCTTTTCCTCCTCCCTCCCTTCCGTCTCGGGCCCTGTTTCTCCTGCTCCTTCTTGTTCCCTCGCCTCCTCTGCCCGCCCCTTTTCCCTCCCGCTCTGGGGGCCCACAGCGAGAGCACCACGCAGGCCCAGCCGTGGCAAGCACGTACGCGGTGTCACGGCACGGCTCTTCTCCCAGCACAGGGTAAGCCTCGGGCCTGGCCCACCCCTCGCGTTCACCCTCCCCCGGGACACGGCCTCCTCCTGGGCCCGCCCTCCCTGGCTTCCCTGTGTCTGCCTCTCCACACTCCAGAGCTTTTGGAGGGCAGGGGTGGGGGTGGAGGTGCGGTCTGCTGTTGCCTGGCGGTTGGGGAGGGGCGGGGAGTTGGGGCGGACCTGGTGACTCCTGTCCCTTGGTCCCCTCCACCCCACCCCAGAGCCTCCAGTCGCATGCCAGCTGCATCCCAGAGCTCAGGTTGTTATGACAGTGACAGTCTGGAGCTGCCCCGGCCAGAGGAGGGGCCCCCTGAGGACAGCGGCCCTGGGGGCCTGGGCACAAGGGCCCAGGCTACCAATGGGGGCTCCGAGCGCTCCCAGCCCCCTCGAAGCTCCGGCCTGCGGCGCCAGGCCATTCAGAACTGGCAACGCAGGCCCCGCCGACATAGCACAGAGGGCGAGGAGGGGGACGTCTCGGATGTGGGCTCACGAACCACCGAGTCAGAGGCCGAGGGCCCCTCAGATGCCCCCCGCCCTGGGCCTGCTGTGGCTGGGCCGCTGAGCAGCTGCCGGCTCTCAGGTAAGTCTTGGGAGGGCGGGCAGAGAGGCCCTAGGAGGTGCACATGGCTCTTGTCCCTCCCTTCCCCTTGGCCCAGTCTCGCCCACCTCTCCTGTACAGCACCCTTTAAGCCTGGGGCAGGGCCACAGCAGGGCTCAGTGCTCAGGTTGTGTCACATGAGGATGCCACCTCTAAGGGGCCAGCCCCACGGTGGGCTTGTTGACATGCACAGGAGAGTAGCAGCCGTCGACGCCCCCCACCACAACCAGGTGTAGCCCTGGTGTGGCGGGGAGAGTCCCTTCACTTGCACACAGGCCGGGCTCGGATGTGTGTGGGTAGGGGGTTAGGGTCAGGAGCCACCCTTGGAAAGAACGTTTAGAGGCAAGTCGTGGCATAGCGGGTTAAGCTGCTGCCTGGAATGCCCTTATCCTATACTGGAGTGCCTGGTTCAAGGTCTGGCCGCTCTCTGCCAAGCCAGCTTCTTGCTAATATATACCCTGGGAGGCAGCAAAGGATGGCTCAAGTCCTGAGTCCCTGCCACCCTATGTGGGAGACCTGAATGGCCCGGCCCAGCCCCAGCCCCAGCTCTTGTGGACATTTGGGGAGGGAACCGGTGGATAGAAGATTCTCTCTCTCTCTCTCTGCTTTTAAAATCAAAATATACATTAACAAAAGAACAGACTACATGCAGAAAGGGCACCCTTTTCTAATTTATAAGGTCAGGGATGGGGCTACCCGATAGGAGTGGGCAAGCAGAGGCCACTTACCCATCCTCCCGATGCCTGCAGTCCTGCTCTCCCCTTGCATCCCACCCACCGCCCCCAGCTGGCCTTTGACCCCCCCCCTTGGTGTTCTGCAGCCCACCCCGAGGGAGGCAGTGGGCGAGGTCGGCGAGCCGAGAGGGGCAGCCCCTCGCGCTCCAACGAGGTCATCAGCCCGGAGATCCTCAAGATGCGCGCGGCGCTGTTCTGCATCTTCACCTACCTGGACACGCGCACGCTGCTGCACGCCGCCGAGGTCTGCCGGGACTGGCGCTTCGTGGCCCGCCACCCCGCCGTGTGGACCCGGGTGCTGCTGGAGAATGCTCGAGTCTGTTCCAAGGTGCCTGCCCCTGACCTGCCCGCCGCCCCGCCCTGCTGCTGCACACCCACCTCGCCCCTGGCAGAGCCGGCCCCGCAAGCTCTGGTCCTTGCAACCCGTAAAGCGCCCCAGCTCGCTGGGGCCGGCCCACCTCCAGCCAGCAGAGTGCAGACCCCGTCCTCTGCAGACGACCCCTCTACCCGCAGTTCCTGGCGATGCTGGCCCAGTGGTGCACCCAGGCCCACTCGCTGACACTGCAGAACCTGAAGCCCCGGCAGCGAGGGAAGAAGGAGAGCAAGGAGGAGTACGCCCGGAGCACCCGGTGAGACCCGCGGTGGCGGTGGGGGTGGGGTGGGGACAGGCGGTGCTGCCGGGCTGCCGCCGACCCGGAACTAAGCAGGGATGCTTCCAGAGGAGGAGGTGGCCACAAGCTCCTCTCGGTCGTCCCCAGGGGCTGCCTTGAAGCAGGGCTGGAGTCCCTGCTGAAGGCGGCCGGCGGGAACCTGCTGATCCTGCGCATCTCCCACTGTCCCAACATCCTCACCGACCGTTCGCTCTGGCTGGCTAGCTGCTACTGCCGCGCCCTGCAGGCTGTCACCTACAGGTGGGTCCTCCACACCAGAGGCAGGGTCCAGGCCTGGGCTCCCTGGGCACTGCACAGCCAACCCCCAAGGTTCCCAAGCAGCTGCATCCAAGAACTCTGTGGCTCACGGGCAGGAGGGAAGGGCAGTAGCAGGGGCCACCAGGTGGGCAGCCGCAGCTTTCTTTTCCACAGGAGCGCCACAGACCCTGTGGGCCATGAGGTCATTTGGGCACTGGGCGCAGGCTGCAGAGAGATCGTCTCCCTCCAGGTGGCGCCACTTCACCCCTGGTGAGACCTGGCAGGGGTGCATGGTAGGGAGGGAGCTGGGTTGGGCCTGCCCTGAGGCCAAGGCCATTCCTTAGGCTTTGTGGGAGAGACACAAGGGGTTCAGGGGCACATTGAGGTGGCAGGAGGAGGGCTTTAGAGATCAGATGCGGGGTCACATCCTGCTCCTCAACAGCATCCCTCTGAGGAATCCAGTCATGTCTCAGGTTCTCACTGCAAAGTGAAGGTGAGACTGGGGATCTGTCAGCTGTCTTAAGGCTGTACTGTTGCTGGCTCCTGTGAGATCACAGATCCAAAGCCTGCAGAGCCCACAGTCCGTGTCTGGTGAACAGTTGTTAAAAATAGCCAGGTGTGTTTGGCACGTGATTGGCGGTTCCGGGAGGGCAGTGTGCAGTCTACACTGTTGGAGAACCCAGGGTGTGCAGGCAGGCAGCCTACAGACTGCCCTGCACCTTGAAGCCGTCTGTGCTGGCTGTGGACAGCCCCTTCCAGGCCCTGCAGCGTGCCTTCACTAGCATCCACAGTGATGGGTGAACACCCGTGTTTCCATTTCCCTGGCATCAAGCCAGAGACTTGTCCGTGGCCTGAATCAATGCTGAGGGCCAAGTGTTGAGGCCAATGGCAGGTCTGGTGTGAGTGGAGGAACAGGACTGGGCAATGGGTGTGGAAAGGAGTGTTGGGCCGAGGTCAGGAAGGACCTGCTGAGAGGTTTGGGTATTTGCATTCTATCTAAAAGGTATAGGAAGCTATTGGAGGATTTTACGGAAGGGTTACGACCAGACTGGTCATTTTCTGTGCCCCTGCCTCCAAGAGCAGGTCCGTATCTGTGTTGTCCCCACTGCACCCTCAGCAGAGTTGGCTCAGTTCTGGTGGCCCAGAGGTGTCGCTGGTGGGCTGGACCGAGGGCCCAGCAGTCTCTGGGGATGCAGAATCTGCAGGGTGGTGGCAGGTCCGCGGGGTGGAGTCAGGGATGCTCCCGGGTTTCTGACCAGCTGGGGGGGCACTTGGAGGAGGCAGAGAGGGGTCCCAAAGGAGGCACACACGGTGTGGGGCACCCGGAAGCTTCCCTGATGCCTGATCCTCCTCGTTCTCCAGCCAGCAGCCCACGCGCTTCAGTAACCGCTGCCTGCAGATGATCGGCCGCTGTTGGCCCCACCTCCGGGCCCTGGGGGTTGGGGGTGCCGGCTGTGGGGTACAGGGCCTGGCATCACTCGGTGAGTCTTTTGCCTTGGGACTGTGCTGGGCAGTGGTGAGAAGTGGGCGCGGGTACAATAGTGCCCTGTGAAATCCCATACAGGCCTGGGGCTGCAGCTGGATGGTGGTGGGGAGCCCTCGGCACTGGGCAGGGGTGACCAGGGAAGTTGGTCAGCAGGGCCTCCCTTCTTCCTTTCCTAGCAAGAAACTGCATGCGGCTGCAGGTCCTGGAGCTGGACCACGTGTCAGAGATCACCCAGGAGGTGGCGGCCGAGGTCTGCCGGGAAGGCCTGAAGGGGCTGGAGATGCTGGTGCTCACGGCCACCCCAGTCACCCCCAAGGCCCTGCTGCATTTCAACAGTGAGCACTGGGGGGATGCAGGCCGGCGCCCAGCACCATGAGCAGGGAGCACAGCCAAGCACCGGCGCTGCGGTCGCACTGACTCGGGTTCTGCTTTGCCACCACCGCCCTCTGAGGCTGGTGTGGCACTCGGGCCCTCCAGCGTCTGATCCAAATAGTTCAGCTCAGCAGAAAGTTGTCCTGTGCTCTCCCCTTGTTGGAGAAATGACCTGTCCAACACCATCAGCCCGCACAAGAGCTCCAGCCAGCAGCAGAGGCAGGACAGGTTAAGAGCACCGGTTCCGGAGCTGGACTGCCCAGGTCGCCACTCTGGCTCCACTGCCCATTAGCTGCATGACTTTGGGCGAGCTACTACCCCTCTGTGAGAGCTATATTCCTGTCTTCTAAGCTTTCTAGACTAGGTGGGAAGACTCACAAGGTGTGTATGCTCCAGGACAGTTCTTGGGGTAACGACCTGTCTCTCCCTGGACTCCCTGGACTCTAGATCGTGCTTGCTCCAACCCCACCTCCCTCGAGCCCCCATTGCACTCCCACTCACTGCTCTGCCTCCATTAAGGGCCCAGATGGTCCAAGACCATTGTCTGGGACATTTGGCTCTGGGAGGTCCCTAGGCCCTGGCCACTTGAAACCTCACCATCTTCAGAGCCCTCTTGGCCACGCCTCACCCCCAGAACCAACTCCTCAGCCTCCGCAGTCAGGAGTTCCAGACCCTGCCCTGCTCCACCTTCATAGCAACATCCAGTCCCTCAAGCCTTCTGCTCCCACTGCACCCCCTCCCCCTTGTGCCCCAGTCCAGCCCCCTCAGCCTCCCTCCGTGTCTTTGTTCCTTGTAATTCATTTTCCAGTGCCCGGGGCTGCAATACAAGTGTCCCCTCTGCTGGGACATTGCTAGAGCCCACTGCAGCCTCTCCTCTGCCTCAGCCACACGGTCTGCCTTGTCCCCTCCTCCACTGTGAGCCCCTGTAAGCCTCAAAGCTGGCACATGGGACCTCTCAGTGGTGTCTGACTTCATTCATCAGTGACGAGAGAGGAGGCACTCATTGTCCAGGCCAGTCAGCCTCACTTTACCCATCTTTCCCCAGGCATCTGCCGAAACCTCAAGTCCATCGTGGTCCAGATTGGGATTGCTGATTATTTCAAAGAGCCCAGCAGCCCTGAGGCCCAGAAGCTGTTCGAGGACATGGTGACAAAACTCCAGGTGAGGGGTCGGCTCTGAGGCTACCCAAGACCACACCCCTGCCTCCACATCCCCAGGCTGGGGCTGGGGACCTGGGTGAGTGTGGCAGGAGGACCCCGCCTGGCCACCCCGAGGGATGACTGACCCAGGGTTTGGTCCATAGGCTCTGCGGCGGAGACCCGGCTTCTCTAAGATCCTGCACATCAAGGTGGAAGGCGGCTGCTAACCCGCGTAGGGGGCGGCAGGGCCCCTGCCAGCCCCACCCCAGGGCACTCTCTTTGAACCTCTGGAGGGACCTTGGTTTTGAGTAGACCTTCAGAGGCCTGGTGTTATCCCTGTCCTCCTGCTGGACCAGCAGAGCAACAGATCCAGGATACTGCCTCCCCAGGGCAGGGGCTTGGACAGAAGCTGCCCTCCGCTCCCACCCCGCCCCCAACTGGAGCAGCCTTCTAGGCACAGCCTGCGAGGAGCTGTCACCACCAGCACCTGGTGTCATCGCCCGGAGGATCTGCAATAACCACGCGGCGGCTCCTCCTTCCCAAGGCCCGGCCTCCTTGTCGGGGGGCTCCACAAGGCAGCTCCGACGCGGCACAGAGGGCTCTCCTTCCCCCAGCCCGTCCCAGCCCTCTGCGGGCACCCTCTGCAGACAGCCTGCCGGGGCTCTGGGTCCCCGTCTCTGGGAGTAACACAGGCAAGCCTGGGAGCCCAGGCACCTGGTCAGCTGACAGCTGGGGGGTGGGGGTGCTAGGGGGTAGTCTGAAAGGACTTGGCCCCAGGATGAGAACGTCCCTCCCCAGGAGGCTGGATGGCCAGGGGAGAAGACTTACATATGGCTCTAAGAAAGGCAAGACCATTCCCCTTCCATCCGCCACATACCCTGCCACACCAGAGCTAAAAGGTGCATGTTTTATACCTACCATTCATTCCTGAAGGACCCTCTGCAGGGCCAAGGTCCCGGCCCTGGGAAGCTTGGTCAGCAGCGAGAAGTAGTTTCTGTCTCCAAGGGGTTTCCCTTTAACCCAGGAGCGTGGTCAGGAATCTGATGGCCTTCGGGTCCCCAAGGCTGTTGGAGGCACCAGGCTGTGCTGGGTGGGGCTGGAGGAGGCTCAGGGGATGGCAGCTGCCTTGCTTCCATGTTTATGGTCAGCTGATCTGGTCTGGGGGACCGGAAACTCTGGAGCCAGGGGAAAGGAGCAGCACCTCAATCGACTGCTCCCCTTGTCCCAATCCCTACCAGCCTCATGGGGCCAAGGCCTGCTGTTGGGGGCCAGTGGGAGATTTTATGGGCCCTTGCACAGTCCCCAAAGGACCAGAGCTTGGCCCCAAGGCGCCAAAGACTGAGGTCCCCCCTGTTTCTCCCCTCAGAACTCGCGCAGTGGCTCAGAGGCTGGAGGTCCTGCCGACCTTCATTTGGAAAGTTCAAACATTTAACCTAAAGCTACCCTTGGGTTTCCTTCTGTACAGAACCAGCTCCCAGCCCTAGCCAACAGACTCAGCCTGGCTGGGGCTGGGGTCTCCTCTTTCCCAGCCCTCTCCAGGGACCCAGCTGTCTGCCACAATCTGGCTTCAACATCAAGGCCTGGGTTACCCTGCAGAGTCCTCCAGAGCTGGGCTCAGCAATGCACCCTGCTCTGCAGGCTCCACTCCCTAGCTCTGGCTCAGCTCTTTTCATCATTGCTGGCTTGTGTGGCTTCTGTCCCTGCTCTCTGAAGACCTGAAATACCAAGGGTGTATTGTTGGCAACTCCTTGTCCAATGCATGATGCCTTTGCTGTTAGCTACCCTGGTCCTGTCCCCAGGAGTCATAGGAAGAAGCACAACTCTCCTCTCCTCTGGGGGCCTGGAAGGGGGGGTGGAGGTCCACTCGGGGCCTGGATGCCCTGTGTATGTCCATCCTGCCTTGCCAACCATAGGCCTGGAGCCCCTGCTCCCTGTGACTCCAAGACTAGAGGTGCTGCCCTCCATGTCTCCTGGACAAAGCACAAAGGGACGCTCTGCTTGGCGTGAGCTCGCCTGAAGGAAAGACTCGTTGCCCTAGGAAGCCTCCATCCCTGAATACAAGGCTCTAGGCAATTTCTCCCTGGGTGGTGCCCACTGAGGTGCCTGGCGTCAGCCCCGGGAAAGGCAATCAGGGTGCCGTGGGCAGTGAGGTACGGTGGTGCTAAGAGGACTGACAGTAGTCAGGTTCGTTCATTTGTGCACCAGCAGTGGTAGGAGCTGAAGGGTTAACAAGTCCCACCTCTGGGTTTTCCCAGAAGCCCACTGGGATCCTTCACCCCATTTTCCTGCTCTGTGTGAAGGATGTGTGAGTACACATTGTACAGTCCCAGCCCTTGGCAATGCAAAGACAACTCACAGCACTTCCCACCACACAGCCACTACTGGGGGGACAGCCTTTGTGTACCCTGGCACTCCTACATGCCCTGAGAACGGGCAGCTTTGCAGCCCCCAACCCGGCTCCCCCCTCCCAGCTCTCCTGGTGGGCCCCGCTGCTGAGTGGGGAGCTCTTGATTGCTCAGCTGGAGCTGCTGGAGCTGAGGCTGGGCAGTGGGAATAGGGCCTGGCTTTCCTGGAAGCACCCCATGCTGCCCTCGCCCCAAGGGGAGCCCATGCTGTATCTCCTCCCTACTGAAGACACAAGAGGTGACACCTAGGATAGCAAACCAAGGCAGGTGCTGCTCCAGAGACCCCTGCGTTGTGTAGAGGCAGTGGTGGCCACTGTGTCCTTTTCAGCCCTCCTGCCAAGCAGCCTGCCCCCCCCCCAACCCCGCCTCGGGGAAGGTTGACCGGTCTGGCTGCAGACCACTTTTTATTCAGGCTGCTTCCCCTCAGCAGCAGTGGGGCATGAAGATACTTCATGCAGGGAAAAAGAATGGGCTGTCTAGAACCATGATACCCACTGGCCAGGAACAGCCACTATAGGGTCAAGGCTGCTCTGAGTTTGAGCCAGTCCCTCAGGAATTGCTGCAAAAGGGCTGCTGCGCAAGGTCTGGCTGTCCTTTGCCTTTGGGCTCTGCCTGCTCCCCAGTCCTGCTCCCTAATCTGATAGGTCCTAGGTGGGGAGCCGCCTACACCCCCTGGTCCCTCTGGCACTAAGTGGAAGGAGACCTTCCCAGAGTGACTGCTGGTGCCAAAGACCCCCATTCCTGGCAAACTTGGGAGTGAAAACAGGAGATGAGCGGGTGTGCGGCCCAAATGCCCAGAGGAGTTACTGAAGCCAATGGGATCTGTCCAAAGCTGTCATCGTCGAGTCTGTCAGCCCTGGCGCTTCCCTACCCTGGTGGCCATGCTTTCTCACCCGACCCTGCTGCAGGCCTGCATTTCTGTATATATTGCTGTGTATTGTGTGTATTTATTCCTGGACAAGTGTGTTCATCTGCAGCCCTTGCCCGAGAAGGTTTAGGATTGGGTGAAGATCAGGATACCAGGGCCAACAAAGGCAAATTCCCTCCCTAACCCCTTGGGACCTCAGCCAGTCCCAAGACTGCCCTGACAATCAGGCAGGCTCCCCACAAGGCCAAGCCTCCTGTCTCAGCCAGGATGGGCCCAGGGAGGCTGAGCCTTGGGCTCCCCCAGCCTCAGCTGTGCCCTGGCAGGAGTGACCCAGGCTTGCCTTGTGACTGGCGCCAGGAGGTTCTGTTCTGGTGGGCACTGCTGGTGGAGACCTCCACAACTGGCCCCTGGGCCCTGCCTTGCCAGCAGTCAGGCTGCAGCAAGCCTGATCTGTGAGGTAGCTCCCCCCAACCCCAAGCACACCAGGCAGAGGGGTGGGGAGCAATTTTTGGTTTTACTTTTGTTTCTGAAGTGGTGCCTGTACCTCGAGCCCCCAGGGGGCCTTCCCTGGCCCCACTTCTCTGCTCAACCCAGGCATCGCCATCCCAGCACTTTGCTCCATGTCACCCCACGATGCCCCTTGCTGAATGTACCCGAGTGTATGTATTTAAAAGGACTCACATGGGCATCAGAGAATTTATGACTCTGTATCCAATAAAAGATGGTGAAACTGGTCTATCTGTCCCAGGGAAGTAAACATTTAGCCCTACTTGTCAGTGTGTCACCTCAGCCTCTCTGCAGCTGGAGTGTGCAGGGGCAGGCAGGGAGTAGATAACCCTCCAGCGTCAGTGGGCTGAACGAAGAACTAAGACTTGCCTCAGGATGGCAGACACTGGAGGAGGAAAGCCATCCAGACGACTGCTCCTGCCACAGCTTAGCCCTGCTTTCAGTGCCTGCACACAAAGGCCTTAGGATATGTTGTTGCTGGCTCATCAGCTGGAAGAGATCATCTTCAAGGGCAAACCCAGTCTCAGTGGAGCAGCTGAGCTCTGGACAGCCAATCAGGCTTTGCCCAAGTTTCTATCATGGCCTGGTCTTGACTTTGCTATAAAATGGGCTTGCCCTGCCGATTTGATTACTATGGTCTTGAAATATTTGAAAACAAAAAGAACACGTGTGCAGACTCCCAACATACTCTTAACAAACACAAGGCAAACAGAATAAGCGTTCCGCAAGTGAAACAGTTAAGCCTCTGATAGTCTACTTTTAAAACCACATTAGGAAGGATGCGAGACTTCAAGGCCTGGACCTACCCACTGCCCCATTCTGCTTCCCAGTCCAACTAACCACACATAACCAGGCTCATGAGAACGAAAAAACTTCCTAGTTTCAGGCAGCACAAGCTTCAGTGGTTCAAGGTGGTAATCGTTCCTCTCTAGTTGCAACAACTACAGCTAATGCAGGTCAGCTATCGAGACTGGGTCAAGGGAAGGGACTACCAGAGCTCTCTGGAATCCGTTTCTCAGTGCTGCTCAAAACTTCTGCAGGTCAAGAGAAAGGAGGGAAACCCTCAATCTCTGGTGGCTGGACAGGAAAGACTAGCTGGATGCCCTTTTCTCCCCCTTCTCAGTAGATGCAACAGGTCGCCAGAGTACAGAGGATGTGACATTCCCCCAATATCCCTCCTAGAGTCCTCAAGCTCTTGACTAAGCACGCACAATACAGAGGTAGCAGGCACAGACAAGGTGCTGGAACACTGCTACTCAAGCCAGAGGAGCCCTGCCCTGGCCAGGCCAGGGATATATGGGACAATTAGAGAAGATCAGCAACTCCAAATGTTGCTATTTCCAGGGCAACTGTGATGAAATTGTGAAATTCCAGACAGGAGCCCCTGAAGCAGATGGAAGATAATTGTCTTTTTTTTTTTTTTTTTAACTTTTGAGCAAGCAAGTCATTGCAAAGCAAAATAACTTACACAAATAACTTACACAAAATAACTTGCACAAATAACTTACAAAGTTAACTCTAAGTGTTAACTTTTATTTAAATACCATCCAGGGAGAAGTTGGGCCAATTACTATCCCTTCCTTGTAACAGCAACTAACCAAGGCGGGGACAGCAAATGGACCCTGTAAGCAGCCATACGATGGACAGGGTGCCCCTCAATGGGGACGGCCACGGCCTCGGCCACGGCCTGCTGCTGGCGGTGCATCCACAGTCGAGCGGGGGTTCTTGATGGTTTCATCTACGGACACGATAAGGCATGCTGCCTCCGAGGCTGCCGTCAAGGCGTTGATGCGCACCATCGCCGGCTCCCACACAAAGGCCTCAAAGTTGTCGGCAATGTCCTCGTTGTTGATGTCCACCCCGTACCACATGCCGCCCTGAAACAGCAGCACAAACGGAAGTGATGCAGAGCTGCTCCAACTTCTGGTGCGCCTTCCTAAAGACTCAGGGCATCAAGAATCCAATCCCTGCAACCTGAACTGGACGAGCTTCCCCGGACAGGGCATCGTCCCACGGCTTCACCACAGGAACCTGGAAGTGGCACCTCTTCCCGCCCTTGCTCCTGCCAGTCACTGCCTTCTAACCCTGGCCATGCTGATCGTGCAAGAGCTCTGGGCCCTCCTCCAGGCAAGCTGCTGTTTCCAGTCCTGGCACAGAGGCCTCCTCTGCCTCCAGAGGCAGTCACCCGGTTGGTGCTGGGCTTCGTTCCAGCCCATCACTTGGCTCGGCGCGCACAACACACACTCACAATCCGGCCCCATCCAACCCAACCCGTGCACCTCAAGAAGGACCCACCTGGGCATGCCGAGCCCGCAGCTTGTTGAGGATGTTTGTGGCATCGAAACCAGCGTTGTCACACAGCTGACGTGGGATGATCTCCAAGGCCTTGGCATACGCCCCAATCAACAGCTGCTGTTTTCCTGGAATAGTCCTTGAGTAATCTCGCAGGTACTTGGAAAGCTCCATCTCAATGGCCCCGCCACCAGCCACTACTGAATCGTTCTGCAGAGACCAGACCACCTCTCAGATCAAGCAGGTCCCCAGTCCATGCTCCAGCATAGGGTGCTTCCTCACTCCCTCCCCTAACCCAAAGCCCCTAGTCATGGCCTCAAGTTCAACAGAGTGAACTTTATGGTTTCTGACCGTCAAGGTCATGTGTGCCTTGTAGACACCAGCACAATCTCCACAATGGCTGACAACAGCTCCACAGTGTGCTGACAAGTCTTAGCCTTTAAGGCAGCAGGCCATACTTGAGACTGTCATTTGTGGGACACACCAGGACCCAACATTCCAGGGAGGGCAGATTATACAAAGAAGCAATTACCACACAAATCCAGGGTCAGATTAGTGAGGGAGGGTGAGTAGGTGGCACAGGCAGGAGGCCACCATCCCAGTACCTTAATGGCCCTCCTGACAATCATGATGGCATCATGCAGGGACCGCTCCGTCTCCTCCATAAACTGCTCAGCACCACCTCGGAGGATGAAGGTGCAAGTCTTGGCCTTGGGGCAGCCAGTGAAGAAATTATATCTGTACCCAGGATCAAATTATACACATGAATTCCTTTCTGCAGCCATCCTGCCATACCTGTTCTCACCGCCAAGCCCCCTCAATACTTGGTAGCAATTCTTGTGTTCACCATGCAGGCTGTCCAACCCCAACCCTAACGACATTTTCTTGTGAAGCTCTGGGGCTGTATCACTGGGGCATGAACAATTGCAGAGTCAGACTTCTGACTCAACAAGATCTTCCCTCCCTGAACACTGTATGAGTCTGAGCTCTCCACGCTCCAAAAGGTGAGGCCTCAAAAAACAACATACAAGCAGTACACCACACCCCAAAGCTGGCAGAAGGCCAGACACACTCACCTCTCGCCTCCAATCTGGGTCTCTTCAAACACCTGGCAGCGGCCCAACACGTCTGGTGACAGAGCATTCACACTGGTCTGGATGGAGCCACCACAGGCCTGGGGAACAAGGCAGGCATGACCACCAGCAGGAAAGGCTCACAACGAAGCCACAGTCAGCTTCAACCTCCTCGTCTCAGAAGCAGTTCCCGTGCTGGACTGCTGTGGTGCCGAGCCCACTGCACCGGATAGCCCACCCTGTCCCCTGACCTCCAGCTGGCCCTTACCCATCTCTGAAAAAGTAGAAAACATAGGCTAAACCCTTAAAGGACAAACAAGCCCAGTTAAAAGAAGTTACTGGTTTCACTGCAGCCTACATTCCCTGCCCTAAACAAGGGTGCTCTGGGGCCCAGCAAGGGAACTCAGGGCAGCAGCTTAGACTTTAAAAAAAAGGGAAGAATCTGGCTGGACGCATCACTGCTTGAGCTTGTAGAGCTGATGACAGCATGACAGCCAGCTTCCCTGCCCGACTTGCCGGGGCCAGACCACCTTTAAGCGGTCTGTGTTACCGAGCACACACAAACACATCAGCAATGGAGTGCTTCCTGGCAGAAAGACAGGGCTGAGGAGAGGGGGCTGGATTCACACACCAATATGACAGCACACTCCACTCCCCAGGGCCACGCAGGCCAACTAGCAGCCTGAGAAAATCTGGTTACCATCATCGTCCTCTTCAGATCCTCCTCAGGCACTCGGCCGGCACAGAACATGTCCCTGTCAGCAAAGTACTGGGTGGCCACGTCCCCAATGGGCAGTTTGGACAAGATGACTTTGGCTCCCGAATGGTAGATCTTCTCTAACTTGTCATAGAGAATGTTCCACTCAGCATCAACAATCGCCTGATAATCCTGAAGAGACCCAGAGAAGAGTAAGGACACACTGGGATAGAAGGTGACACCTAAGGTGGCCTAAAACACATACCTCAAAGACAGACATGCTGATGTATCTGAAAATTAGCAGGACAAACACAACCGCCACTCCTCAATCCAAGTAAACAGAGACCCAAATAAGGTGACTTAGGAACTGCCTCAACCTTACAAACACCAAAGCAGAAAATAATCTTGGGGCCAGAAGCTACACCAGAGCTGACACTGGCAACCTGTGAGAAACAGTTCCGCCTCTTCTGAAATGCAGCACCAATGGAGTTCCCAATAACAAAACCACTTCACCCCCTAAAAGCCATCCTGTCCTGTGTGATACTGCTACCTCCAGAGGCAACTTTGTTAGTATCAGTGACAGGGGCCAGCTTAGCCTGGGGTGCCAGCATCCCATATGGGCACCAGTTTTGTGTCCTGGCTGTTCCTCTTCTGATCCAGCTCTCTGCTAATGGCCTGGGAAAGCAGTAGAAGATGGCCCAACTGCTTGGGCCCCTGTACTATGTGGGAGACCAGGAAGAAGCTCCTGGCTCCTGGCTTCAGATTGGCCCAGCTCTGGCCATTTAGGGAGTGAACCTCTCTATGTAACTCTATCTTTTAACTAAATAAACGAAATCTTCAAAAAAAAAAAAAAAATCAGTAACAGGGGCCAAGATGCAGCATGAGATCCGGTCTAGAATGGGAAGGAGTCTGTACCTGCTTAAATGAGGAGAACCAAAATACTCAGCAGGCTGTGTAGCTGCAGGACCCCTGCCAACCCCAGGGACACAGCAGAGCATTTCAGAGCTTCCCTAACAATTCCCTCAGGGAGAGTACAGAGCAGGGAAAGATGTGGGCCTGGTATCTGAACATCAATATTTAGGGAGGCAAGAGAAAGGGACCCATAGGAGCCTTAGAAGCAGAGCTGGGCCCAAGACAGCTACAAAGACCCAAGGCTCTGGCCCAGAAAACTGCCCATTTCCATGCCTC